TAACAAAGGCCCTGTATGGTTAGACAGCTGAAGACTTGTATAACAGGAGAAAGGCCTAAAATTCCACTTTCAAATTCACCTTTTTTCAGCTTTTCTGATGTATTAAATTACAGTTCTTTGAACATTACTGAACATGCACTTAACACACATTTACAGAATATTATATACAGACTTCTCTGTTGAGACAAAACCTTGTATCTCAATTTTTGTCATTTTTGCTTTTTTGCATCATTTGAAGATTCCATTTGCCCCTTACAGTATGTTAAAAATTTATAATGAATGGAAAAGTAATGACCTAATATCCTATTTTCTTAACTTCCACTAACTGTTAAGATTTTTCTGCTTTTTCTGTAAAGTTTCTATTTTTGAGATACAGTCATACTCAGAAGTGTTTGTAAGCTTTTTCAGTCTTGTCTTTAGCAAGTGAAATGCTGCTCAGTGCAGTTCAGTTCAGCTAACTGACTTGATATTTGAAGAACATTCTGAGCATTCAGAGCACTGAAAACTCCACAGTTAATATAAGCCACGCCCTCTGCCTCATTTCATTTAACTCAGTTTTACAGCAACATTTAGTGTTTCCTTCATGCACAGCAAGGGGGCCCAACGGGACCTCCTAGGCCTTTAAAGAAGAAGATGCTTGCTGTATTTAAACCTGTAAATATAGTAGCAACACTCTTACTTTTGTTTACATTTTGGTTGGAAACAAAAAGGTTAAATTCTTGAAATGTCCAATGGAAAATTGTGCAGTAACATTTGTTTTGCACCACAGCATCTCACTATACAGCGAAATGAGCTTCTCCATTGGTTAGGACTTGAGGAGCTGGACTGAAGGCTTAACATATCAGAATAACTGGTTAACAATGATTTTCCAACAAGTGGATCTGATGTAGTGAGAAAAATGTCACTCTAGGCCTTTTGAAAGTTACAGTTGTATCACTGACTATAAATACAAGCAGTCGACTGTCTAAGCTTAAGTCAGAAAACGATGGTCTCTTTACTGAAACAGTCACTGTAGAACGGCTACATACAAAGAAAATTATATGTCTATATTTCTGTTACATTCTTCAAATATTAACATGGATTGTTTTATATAAGATTCAAATGTTCAGGCTGGATCTATAGCAAAAATATCCGGTGAACTGCCTTTAGCTTAGCGTTAACTTACTACTAAGAACTCTATAGGGGTGCTAGTAGAAATCAGCACTAACATAATGCTGTCCTTCCCCTGATTTTTCACCAGGTTTAGGTATTAATGGCCAGAATTGAAGGCCTACTGCTAATAGTCATGGCTCCTCACTGATGAAATATATAATGTTCAGCCTAATTGTAAATAATTAGTTCATTCATTAATTTACCTTCTATGTCCAAAATTTGGTGGACACCTGCACATGCAATGTTTCTTCTAAAATGAAGGGTATTAATAGGGATTTTCTCCACCTTTTCTGCAGTAACAGCCTCTACTGTTCTGGGAAGGCTTTACACCAGAAATTGGAACATTGCTATGATGATTTGATTGCATTCAAGAGTGTGAACATGGAGGTTTTAAAAGCTATCACCTTATCAAGGTGCACCTTAAAGTAGCTGAATTCACTACACGGGCATATGTATTCATATGCATAATGTTTTGAGAGAGCATTTTTTTTTATTATTATTATTACTTTCTAAATATGACATTTTGTGGAACTACTTATAATAAAGCTCAAATAGTTTTAAAGGAGGTCAGGGGAATTCTGATGGCCAAACATGAGTCAAACAAGAAAGAAATAAAGAAAAAAAGAATTGTGATATTTGGCAGCCAATGAGCTTAATCTCTTGAGCCCAGCCCACTAATATAGTGTGGTGCTGTTGCTTCCTTTCCAGTTTGTTTCAAATAAGAACAGCTTCTTTTTTATGCAATGGCTCCAATTTGCTGGCTCATTTTACATCTCTACATGATATGTAAGTTTATGAACTCCATTCCTTCATTGATTTAGCTCTTATAGATCCTGCTCAAGCTGTGGATCTTTCTAAGGCATCATTTGTTAAAGTTTAAAGCGTTAAAGTTTGGGTTTGGTACAAGCAAAGAATGGGACAGGAACCTCAGGAAGTGGCGGCAAAGCATGAGCAGCACTTCGCTGCCACTAGAAGGCCTCTCAGGTTGGCTGCCTAAGTGACTCTACATCGCGGCTATGTGGCTGCCTTGGCCGGCTGCTTGGGTGATGCTTCATTGCACCTATGAGGCTGTCTGGACTGGTGGTGTTTGGCTGCAGGAATGCTACCCCTTCATGGCTAAGGACATTTTCGTCTTTCAAGGCTTCCCAGGCCAGCCTCCTGTGTGATGCCTCGTAGTTGCGGTGTGAGACTAAGGGCTCCCCGTGCCTAGGGACTTTTTCTGGGCCAGCTAAGTGACTCTATACCCCTGTGTTCTGTGTTATGTATTTTTGATTATTATATTTTATAATATTTTATAATAAATTGCAATCTAAGGCCACCCTTTACTCAAACAAAGGGAGACTGAATAAATCAAAATGTTCATATATTCATTTGCAATATATGAAAAATACATTGTCTACAAGGATGAAAGTAGTTAAAGGTAAGTACACTTCCACAGCACAACCAACACAATTGTACATTGTTTATTCTACAATTAAAACCTTCACAGGCAGATATTGGGGGCTCCTTATACATGACTACTTCTCTATAGAGAGCTTATAACAGAGGCTGTTAAAGATATAACCAAAACTACTGATAAGAGCTCACCCAGAGCCCAGAGCACTTTTTGTGGCCAAACAGATCAAATCAAGCAGACAGAAAGAACCATGTGACTTTTACCAGCCAATGAGCTTCAGTGTAAGAACCCAGCAAGCTAATGCAGTTTGATGCTTTTTCTACATCCTTGCCTACATATTTACCTTCAAGTTATAACTGTTGCTTTGAACAGACATGATAACTTTGGCATGCAACACTCTGGTGGTGTTATGTTTATTTTCATTTGAAGCATTACATATGTTACTGTAACTGATTTTGATTGTAATGTCGAGAAAAAAAAAATAAAACAAATCAAACCCTTTTGCAATGGGATAGTAATGCAAAGTACTGAAGTCCTGATTGTAAATGTGTGTAGTTGTTTTTGACAACTTGCTGTGGTTCCACATAATGAAGCCATGTTTATATACTGTACTGCTGTGAAGAAATAAAAGTGTGTTTAATGTGTAAATATTTGAAATGTGCTTGTTAAGTAATTTTAATGAAAGGTTTTAGCTTTACAATGATGTGAAGAATTTCTTACATAAAATAAAACAATATCAGAAATTAAATAAAATGGATTAATGAAGTAATAAAACATTTAATTGCAACAAAATTTAGTATAACACTGTATTTTACATGAATATAGTTTTTCTCTTATTTTTTTATTTATTTATTTGTTTGCATGTTCGTTTACATGGATCCATGTATTACAGCTGTAAGACAAACAATATAAACATGGTTAGATTTAGAAAACGCAGATTCTTATTGAAGCCTGTCTTCTGTAGTTTGTGATGGAAAGTAAAAAGGTCATTTTCCACAAGTTCTAACTACACACAACTGTGTATCATCACTGTTAGGACAAAACTTTAAATCTCCATTTTTGTTTAATTTTGTGCATATTTTGAAAACTCATGCAGTAATTTTAATTTTGATTAAATCACAAATCATCAGACTGTAAAATTATTTTGTAAATTTCACAGTTTGAGTTAGTAACTAATTAAAATAAAATAATAATTAAGTAATACATCTAAGTATAAGTAGAACATAAACAAGAAAAGTAGTTAAAAAGAAAAGTCAGAATGTTTATTTTTTTATTTTTGTTTAATAATGTACTTCTAATCAAACTTTGTTACAGTGTATAGAATTATATTCATGTTATGGCTGAAGGTAATCAGAGACAATTAAACCTCTCTAATAGTATTACTGAAAACCAAAACAATTCTACATCCTTTTTGTACAATTAATCAGGTCTTCAAACCTTCACAGGCAGATATTCTGAGCTCCTCATATTTAACTGCTTCTCTGTAGAGCTGATAACAGAGACTATGACAACCACAACTACTGATAAGAGCTCACACAGAGCCCAGAGCACTTTCTGTGGCCAAACAGATCAAGTCAAGCAGACAGAAAGAACCATGTGACTTTTACCAACCAAGCAGCTTCAGTACAAGAACCCAGCAAGTGAATGCAGTTTGATGCTTTGGTCAGTAACAGCCTTTAGAATATTTGCTTTCAAATTGCAACCGTTGTTTTTGTGATAATGGATCCAGCTGTGATTATCATCTTACTTCTCTACAGAATTGGCAAGTTTCATAAAGTTACCATACAAAAATTGTTTTTGTTTTTATTATTGTTAAATATGTCCAACCAAGTTTTCCTTTTTGACTTGACTGAACTTTGTTTTACAGATTCTGCTCGTGCAGTGAGAAATTCAGAGTCATTGATCATCTCAGCTGTGCCCACTGAAGCGGTCACTCTCACCTGCACATTTGTAGATGACCCAAATAAAGATGTTAGGATGTGGTACAAACAAAGACTCGAGCATGCTCCACTGGAAGTGGAATCAAAGTTAGGAGACAAGCCGGCTGTGTTCACAAATAAACTAGATAAATCAAGATTTAAACTCAACAAAATTGTGAGTGGCAGTTATCTTGCCTTTTCATTGTAAATACTGATACAGGTTTTACCAGAGGCCATTTAAAATATATTTTTGCTGTTGCTAGTGATATCCGTATTATAATGTTGCAAATATCCATAAATTATCACAATCACACTCTAGATTCATAATAGAACACTGTTATCTCACAGTTATTGTGTTGTAATACTTTTTATCCAGTGATGTCACTGTTACTGCTGAATACAAATACTTACACTGTCTATATTATGTTTTATATAGGACAGGTAAGCATTTCAGTGCTCCAGACTCCAGTACAGGGGTCAGTTTCTCCAAGAGAGTTGGTCACTCTGCAGTGCACAGTCCTCTCTGAGATCAGAGCAGCAGAACTCCGAGTGCTCTGGTTCAGAGCTGCTGCAGGAAAATCCTTTCCTGAAATCATTTACACTCATCAGAACAGCAGCAGCCGTCAGTGTGAGATCAGCTCTTCTACACAGCTCTGTGTACAACTTCTCCAAGAACATCCTCGACCAGCACCATACTGGAACTTACTACTGCGCTGTGGCTGCTTTTTGGGAATGGAATATCAGTAGAACTGAGTAAGTTTGTTTCTGTGTACTACACTGCATTTGTCTATTACATTTAAATTGTGTAGATTTACTCAAAGTGATTTAATGTGTAAAGCTTCATTGTAAATAAAATTTCTCAGATTTCTTTACAGTGGTGTTGATATGAACCAGAGGTCATGATATCAGCCGCACAAAATTTATTTACTACCTACAATCATCAGAGAAGCTAGATATATATTTTTCTGAACATTTACTAATAAGTACTAACGTAATGTGAAGAAAAAAAAATGCTGAATCAGATTTTTTTTTCTTTTTTTGTTGTGGGAAGGTAGTGACCTGGTAGAGGCATTAAACACTTCAAATCTCTGATTCTTATTATCAGCACTGTGTGCAATTCTGTCTGTACTGTAAGAGACAAAGGTACAGCAGCTTTGGGTGCAGACCGATCACTAAATATAGAACATTGACATAAATTTCAAGCTAAAAAATGTTAGATGGAAAATGATTTTTGTGGCTTGAACTGCTGTATTCATGTATACAATATGTTTATAATTCCTGTCTTACAGAAGATCCTTTAGGTCCTGTAATGCTGACTCTGGCAGTTTTCTCTGCAGTGTGTGTGTGGCTGTAATCTGCGCTCAAACCATTTTAATTCATAAACTGAGAAAATCCGAACACGGTGCTGGTGGTAAGTGTTCATTATGAGATGCAGCTGAACATTTTAATAGAAAGAAAATAGAAAATAGTGATAATACTTACTAATACGTTTAGCCTCATTAAACTGTATTTGCAAGTGACTGTGAAGTTTTATCTCTACAGACAAAGTTCAGGAGGGGGCTGTTAATGAGAGGACCACCAGACAGGTACTCTTTATATACTTACTCTTTAAAAATGCATTTTAGTTTCTACTGAGAATCTGATATGATTCAAATTTCTTCAATTAAGAAATCTGCCTATTTCTGTTTGAAGCTTTTAGTGATGATGGACAATAAAGACAATTTTGATTTTTAAGTTATAAGTTTAACATGTGGAAAAAACATACCATCTTAGACTTTTTGCATAAGCCACATTTTATGTTTTTATAATATTTATAATTTGGGCCAGGGGTGCCCAAACTTTTGCAGATGACCATGTCTTGTTATGCAAATTGTTGAGCCAGAATTATCATCTAAATTTATATCTTATTAAAAGATAATTATTAGCATTTCATTCCTATAGGCTCTATAGGCTCTATAGGCTCCACACAGAGTCAGCTGATTTCTGGAGTTCATTAGTTTAGAGTTAATAAGAGTTTATGTGTTCTGTGTTAAAGTGTTAAAGAATTTGCCCATCTGTTACCCATATTCTAAAGTAAAGAAAGATAATTTTATGGACCTTTCCAAGTCAGAAACATTCAACCTTGAAATATTTTTAGATTCAGCACAATTTAACCACCAAATGTGGATTTTTAATAATATTTAAATAATATTTAAATATTATTTCTTAAAATAAAATGTTAAGAAGAGGAAAGATTGGGCCCATTTTTTCTGACCTTTCTTCCCCGATTATTTTAAAACACATTCTTTTTGGTCTTTTTTTCTGCCATTGATGATTCACAGTCCATATGTGAAGATAAATCTGCTATTGCTGTAAAAATACCATCCAGACTTTTGGGTAGTTATCATGTGGTTACCAAGCATATTACTAGAGATAAAAGAATGAAAAAACACTATTATAACTATCACAATACACATAAGTAATTATATGACTAAAAAATGAAGCTGATACATGTGTGTTTACATAAACTGTAGTAGTCAAATATGTCTGTGACAGAGAATACATCTCTAGTAGTTGTTAATGTGTAATTACACAGTTATTAGAGAGCCTACATATAAAGTGGGCCTTTATTTTATTTACTATTTGTACATTTGACTTTTTTTTTAAGTTCTTATAAGCAGACTTTAATATTAAGTCCTCTAGTTTGCCATTAGAATGTACAAAAGCTTGTTGTTACCAGTAGGAGGCAGTGTGATCATTGGCTGTGTTCTGGGTATCTACTGTGGTTTCATAGTTCTTTCCTCTCAGACTTGAGAGACTATAGTGAATATAAGCCACGCCTTCTGCCTCATCATGTCATTTTAACCCTGTTTTATAGGAACTTTTCATACAGGACTCTGACTTACTCTGAAAATACTTATCTCAGTATCCTGAATATTATTCTACATCTGCTCAAACATTTTTATTAATGACTGAAAGTATTTTTAGTCATCCAGTGCTGTGGACAATGTATATCAGAAGAATATGTGAGATATGTTTGCAGTTATATTAATTTATTTTTATAATTTTGGTCATGTTTTTAAATCTCCCAACTATAAGACAAATTCCACCTATGTTCAAAGTTTCTGAGTGGTTAAGTTGTTGAGAAGTTAGTTAAGGTTAGTTTGAAAATGTTGGTCAGGACATCATCTCACATGGAATGATATTAAAAAGTTGACTAATGTGTTTGTTTTCCTTTTATTTTGATTTTAATGCATTATTTTTGGCCATCTCCAAAAAGAGTATAGACAAATTACAGCTAATGTTCAACTTTTGTTTATTACATTACTTGATATTTTGACAGTGATTTATAAATGTTTTCCTGAACTGCAGTTTCATGTTTCTTTCAAATCGATTATTATTGCATCTTTTTAACATATACATTTGTTATTACTTTAGGGCTTTTTTGGGGACTTCCCATGTACCACTCCACCATGAATGTGATTTAATAAATGCACTTTAGACCAAAACATTATTTCAAAACTACAGTAGAAAAACTATAAATGTATTTGTTACCATTTCATGTAGTAACTTTCTGCTGGAGAGAGGCTTAAGAGGTTTTTTATAAGAGGCCAAGGAACTTCTTGTGGCCAATCATGAGTGAAAAGAAGAGCAGACAGAAAAAAATACCCTTTTGACAGCCAATGAGCTTAATCTCCTGAGCCCAGCTAATACAGTGAGTTGGTGTTGACAATTACTTCCTTTCCAGTTTGTTTCAAATAAGAACAGCTTCATTTTAAAGCAATGGCTCTGATTTGGATGCTGGTTTTACATCTCTACATGATACGTAAGTTATCGTTATTTTTATTTTTCTGGACCCTCAGTAAGATTTTAGTTTGGGGTTTATTGTTTACTGTGTGTATTGAAATGTCATCTGCTATTGTCTTTATCAGCTGAGCTCTCATCTGATTCTGTCTTATAGATTCTGCTCAAGCTGTGGATCTTTCTGAGGCATCGTTTACAACTTTACAACAATAGAAAACTTTAACCAAATGTGTTTTTATGGTTTACTTTATTACATTCAATCTTTTATAAGAAGTGAAGTCAATTACACTGACACAGCATTGGATTTGTTGTGTGTATATTGTGGTTATAATTAAAAAGTATTATGTGTATAAATGTTCATTTTTAACACAATACCCCATTTATAGTGCTACAATATTTCTGCATTTTGAAAAGAAATGTAATCTTTAATAATTCACTCCTAATGTGTGCTTTATAAGTCCATATATTCCTATATCTTACAATGTCTCAATTACACTGACCAGGTCATCCACAGTTAAACATTTCGGTGCTCCAAACTCCAGTATGGTGGTCAGTTTCTCCAGCAGGGTCAGTGAATCTGTTGTGCACGGTGCTCTCTAAGATTGGAGCAGAAGATCTCCGAGTGCTCTGGTTCAGAGCCACTGCAGGACAATCCTTTCCTGAAATCATTTACACTCATCAGAACAGCAGCAGCCGTCAGTGTGAGATCAGCTCTTCTACACACAGCTCTGTGTACAACTTCTCCAAGAACATCCTCGACCACCACCATACTGGAGCTTACTACTGTGCTGTGGCTGCTTGTGGGAAGATCCTTTTTAGCAATGGAGCATTAGTACAACTGAGTAAGTCTATCTCTGTGCTTTGTGTTGTATGTCTTTCTGCGTACTTCTAGGCACCTGTGCAGTATATGTGTGTTAGTGTTTGTATATTTTTTATTTATTTACATTTGGCCTCAATTCAAAGTTTGTAAGAGCAATAACATACCACAAAAGAAACTAAGAGTGCTATAGAACAATAAAGAAGGAATGACATTCTAACAATGATTTGGGCTTCAAAGTCGATGATATGTATCAGCATCAAAACAGACAATGAAAAAAATATGACAGAAAGGGGTTTTGTAACTGTAAGACCATAGATCATAAACCTTTGATGCACTATAGTGATTACTTTATAGTTTTGAACCCAAAACGATGTCGCACCTGTTAATCTGAGATGAAAATTAAGAAAAGTTCCACTGAGCGATTTAATGTGAAATAGTTCATTGTAGAGAAACTTACTTACTCAGATTTCTTTACGGTGGTGATGATTTCATTTACTAACCTAGACCACCAGTCGAACTACATGTTATCTGAATTTTACTAAATTTCACTTGTCTAATGTTGGCAATAATAATAATAATAAAAAAAAAAAGTTGAACCGAATTTTGTGGTATGTGGGGGTTATTGACCTGTTAGAGGCATTAAACACTTCAGATCTCTGGTTCTTATCATCTGCACTGTGAACAATTCTATCTGTACTTTGAGCAGTGCAGCAGCTTGGGGTGGAAAATGATTGGGAAATAACAGAATATTAACAAAATTCATGCTAAACAGATGGAAAATGTATTTTCGTGGCTTGAACTTTGTATTCATGTATACAGTATGTTGGTAATTTCTCTCTTACAGAAGCTCCTGTAGATCCTGTAATGCTGACTCTGGCAGTTTTCTCAGCAGTGTGTGTGGCTGTAATCTGCGCTCAAACCATTTTAATACATGAACTCAGAAAATCTAAATGCCGCGCTGGTGGTAACTGTTCATTATGAGATGCAGCTGAACGTTTTAATAGAAAGAAAATAGTGATAATAATTAATAATAAGTTTACCCTCATTAAACTGTATCTGAAAGTAATAGTGATGTTTTATCTCCTCTACAGAGAAAGTTCAGGAGGGGGCTGTGAGTGAGAGGACCACCAGACAGGTACTGTTTATACACTTTTCTACTGAGAATCTAATATGATTGAAATTTCTTCAAGTGACAAATCTGCCTGTATCTGTTCTCAGTGCAATATATATATATATATATATATATATTATCTTTTGCCATAAAATGTGATTTTTTATGTGATAAATTTAGCAAATAAACAGAAATTATGCCTTAAAATGCACAGAAGGTTGTTCTCTGTAGAGAATGTGAACTACCTCATCTGTAGATTACTGTTATTATAACACTGTAACACTAACTGTAACAGTAAATATTATATAAATTAAATATTAGTTAAGTATAACACCCATACTGTATTTTTAGCTATACTTTTGGAAATTCTTATCTAATAATGTGCATTATTTTTTTTACATGGGTCATCTGTCCAGGGCAGCCAAACTTCTACAAACAAATATACCTTGTTATGCAAAGTGTTAAGCATAAAAACACCTAAATTCACATCTTATAAATATATACTTGGCAACATTATATATATATATACATTATTATTTTTTTTATTTATTTTTTTCTATAGGCTCTACATTATGTCAGATACTTTCTGGGCTATAATATTTTAATGAGTGTCTAACACTTAAGTAATTGATCCATAAGTATATTTGTAGTTATCACAAATTGAAGGCTAAAAAGTGCAAAATAAATTTTAAATAATTAGTCAATTTGTGACTCATAACATACAAGTTGGAAATACTGTTTGAAATTAGTCGTCAGATGTGTATTTAGTCTAACTTCATTTTTAACTTTAACTTTATTTAAATATCTAATTCATGCATTAAGTATGCATGAACATGCATGAACATACATCATGAAATGGAACATTATGCCTGAAACTGATAAAATTAAGAGGAATAAAATGTAACTGATATTACACTAATAAGAGGGTAGATGTCATTTTCATATGAAGGTCTTAACAAACTGTTTATTATGCATTACAAACATTTTTTGCTCTGTTTCATGCTGGAGAACCTATAATAACTTTTTAAACAGTACATACATCAAAGAGTAAAACATTTTACCTTCTATAGCAAAGTGACTTGGCATTTGGCTCTTTGGCATTCATTCAGTAACATTAACTAGCCCAGCAAATACTGTCCAAGTTTATATGCATTTTTCAGTAAATGATGATGTTTATTTCCTACAGGAACAGAACACTGAGAACCTGCATTACGCTGCCATCCACATCAAAGAGAAGAAAGCCAAGGGTGGGAGGGCGAAGAGAGAACAGCCTGAAGACATTGTGTACTCTCAAGTGAGAAGCTCCAAAGCAGCTGCTCAGCACTCACATCGCTAGTGTACTAAGATGATCATGAGTGAAGATTTGGACCTTTTCACACCTCAAATGAGCTCCAGTCTTTTATCTGTAACTGTTTATTTTTTGTTAGGTGAGTTTTCTGCTGATTGAAATGAAGTCTCAGTTCTCTGAAGGACGATGTGAAAACTCAGCTTTAGAGTGTGGCCTGTGCAAAAGTAATGGAACTCCCTATATTATCTATTTTTTTCCTGTTCTGTGTTGTGTTCATATGTATTCACAAGAAAATCAACAAAGCCTGTCATTTTATCTGGAGTGTTTAAACTTTTGCGTATGACTGAAACCTATTTTTTTTTTTTTTTGATAGGTTGGTTTGTATTGTTACAACAAGTGCTGTTTCAATGACAATTTCAAATTAAAGACATCATGCATTTCTTGTGTGTGATGTTCTCCATAACTCATCATAACACTTCATTACTCTTTATAACTCTTCATTCTTCATGAAAGATCCTGCTTGTTTCATGTTCAGAACCAACTATTTTACTATTAGTAATACTTTCAGAATACACTGAGCTATCAATACTGCAAAAGCACATAATAATAACTAAAGAATTTTCAGTGTTTTCATGTAAAATGTAGAACAAAAATGATAAGCATCTTCAAAAAGTATATAACACAGTGTGATACACATTAATCACATGTTAACATTCATACATATTAGTGGTGTTGCATTCATTTTAATTAATTGATTGATTAATTAATTGATTAATTGATTGATTATTTGAATGCTGGGGGTGGGGGGTGTACACATTGATATTCCAGATTTAAATAAGTCCATGTATGTTGCTGTTTTCTCTTCAATGCAGATTTCAGCTGGTTCAGTTGGTCATTTAGAGTTAAAGAATATTTACATCTGCACAATAAATACTTATTTATCTCATTTTAGCTAGTTATGTTAATACACTGTCATGAACCCAAACAAAGTTTTGGCTTTAAACCATTCTGAAATATGATGGAAACAGCACATATCTTTAAAATAAACATTTATGTAATTCATCAAATGACTGTTGTATTACACTATTATAAAAGCAATGTCTAGATTACCAGTTTGTAATTTCACTGTACCTACAGAACAGCTACACCGTACACCTTTTAAGGTGTAACTTTACACCGTACACCTTTTAAGGTGTAACTTTAACACAGTTGCTGTAATGTTTTAGAATATTTCAGTTGTAACATAGGCAAAGTGATCAAATCAATTAGATCAATACTGATTTCACAGTATTACACAAAGAGAAATCTGCTTTTGCTGTGAAAATACCATCCCATTACAGAATGGCTTAAATCCAGAATTTTGGTTAAGTTACTATGTCACAACATATCACTACAGATAAAAATAAAGAAAAAATACTAATCTGAGTCTAATCTGTACTAATTACACAGTTATTAGAAGCGCTAAACATAAAATGGTGATTTGTTTTGTTTCCTTTTTTTAGCTTTAATTTTCTGAAGTTCTTGTAAGCAGACTTCAATATTAAGTCCTCAAGTTTGCCATTACAATGTACAAAAGCCTAAAGTTACCAGTAGGAGGCAGTGTGATCATTGGCTGTGCTCTGGGTATCTATTGTGGATTCATAGTTCTTTCCTCTCAGACTTGAGAGACTATAGTGAATATAAGCCACACCTTCTGTCTCATCATTACATTTAACCGTGTTTTACAGGAACATTGTCTGTCATACAGGACTTTGACTTGGTCATTCTAAATTACGTATCTCAGTATCCTGGATATAATTCTGTGACTGCTCAAAAAATGTTATTGATGGCTGAGAGTATTCTTTGTTTACTATTGTGGACAATATTATACTGGATTTGAGATATTTATTACATTTTGTGAAGTTATTTTTGCAATTTGTCTTGTTTTTCCAAAATACCAACAATAACAAAAACGTTTGTTGGTTCACTGTGGAGAAACTTATCAAATCGGATAACAGTGCCAGTTTTGACATGGTCTGAATTAAAGGCCTAGCTCTAATAGTCACGGCTCTCCACTGATAAAATTTAGAATGTTTTGGCTTTTTATAAATAATTAGCCCATTAAATAATATTTTGTATCTGTCTAAATGTTTCTAGATACCTGCTCATACAGTGTTCATTACAGCTCATACTGAAATGAAGGGTATTAATAGGGAGTTTGTCCTCCTTTGCTGCAGTAACAGCCTCTACTGTTCTGTGAAGGCTTTACACTAGATGTTGGAACATTGCTGTGAGAATTTGATTGAATTTGTTTGAATCAACAGGAACATTAGTGAGGTCAGGTACTGAAGTTGGATGATCAGTTTTGGATCATTCCAACTCATCCCAAAGCATTGGCAGGAGCGCCACCACCCAAGAGAACATGGTTGCACTGCTCCACAGCCAGTGCTAGGCTTTATACCCTGCTAGTCAGTTCTTGATATTGGACATGGTGACCGTAGCCTCATGTGACCAAAACTGCTTACAATAGTCCTGAAATACCTTTTAAAGAGGCCAGGGGACTTCTTGTGGTCAAACATTGGTTGAACAGGAAGCAGACAGAAAAAAAAAAAAATGTCTGACAGCCAAAAAATGTCTGGCAGCC